ACTATTAGGAAGCAAAATTAAAACAAGCCTAAGGAATTTTTTTTCACACAGTATGTAAATTAGCTTGTGGAACTCATTGCCACAATTTGTTGTAGGGGCTGATCGTTTTGTTCATTATAAAGATGCATGTTACCCTTCTTGTGGAGTGTTTCATTAAGCCAGGGGAGTTTGAGTGGTCTTTGAACAAGGGCTTCAGGTTGTCTTTTGGATATCCTGGGCTTGGAGCACAGACCTAGAACTTGATTCAGAATTTATAGGAAGCCAGGAGAGAGAACAGGGCAGCCTGACGTGCTTATGATTAGCCTTTGTTGTTAAGGAAATGGGATGCAGCATGTGACAGTAGATGAGCTTTCTGAAGCAATCAAGGTTTTGTGCCTAGAAATAGTGCTGAAGTCCAGTAGTGGTGTGGAGCCGGTCCACGGGCTGGATTGAGACCTGTGTGCCAGAGCTGGGCACCATGCACCCAGATGGGGCCCTGCGTAGCCTTGCCTGGTCTGTGTACCTTGGGATCAGGGCATGTTTGGCCCTGCTTGCCAGGATCGGGCTTTAGAGGCTCACTGTTCCCCACATATGGTGGGATTGGGACGGCGCGGTCCCTTGTAGGCCCCATGATTTAGGATTGGGCCCTGGGTCCCAGCATTGCTCCCACACAACCCCATATGCTGGGATTGTGTGCTCAATCTAGTGTTCAGGTCCTGGGGCTCCCTGTGGGTCTGGAAATTTGGCAGCAGGAGAGCAGTGCTGCTACAACATTTTTGGACACATAGGGAGCCCTCCGAGCTGAATGACATGGTTCTGGGGGCTGAGCACTGCTGTTCTAGCCAGCTTCCCTCTTCCACGGGGGCTGGTTCTTTTTTGCCTGCAGACCTGTATGGCTACAACCTGTATCTAATGACTAATGATCAATTTTGTGGGTGTTCACCTATAAACAAAGATGGCTGCACAGTAGCTGTGAACTATTCAAAAGGATTTTCCTTTGCCTATCAGCATGGCTTTTACTTTGCTCAGATTCAGCTCCAGCCAGCCAGCCAGGAGCCGATCTTGTTTACACACTAGGCCATCTTTGGTATTATTGCGCTGAAAAACAGATAGAGTTGTTGTCCCTATATTGTTCATACTTTCATAGGAAATTTATCATTGTGTGCATCTGCAAGTGAAGGGTCTAATTGTGGGGTTTCTCATTACTGTTTATTGGCTTCATCCCTTCAACAAGGACTTGGATCACTTTAGTGAATTATCCTGAACCCATTTCATGTCAGGAAAGATGGTCTAAATCAGGGGTGGGCAAAATACAGCCCATGGGCTGGATCTGGCCTGCCAGCTGATTGAATCTGGTCCGTGGGCAACAGGTAGGAAGGGGAAGTAGTGGTGGGTTGTGTGGTGGGGGGAAGCTGCAGTCGGTGTCCAGAAGTGCAGAGCTGGCAGAAGCATGGGACCAGAGCCAGCGGGAGCACGGATATGGGGATAACAGGAGTGCAGGTCTGGCAGAAGTGCAGGGCCAGGACTGGCAGGAGGGCGGGAGTGCGGGGATGACAGGGGAATGGGGCTGGAGCTGGCCAGGGTTGGGGCTGCTGAAAATGTGAGATTAGAGCCAGTGGGAGTGCAGAGCTGGCAGAAGCATGGGGCCGAGGCCTGTGGAAGCATGAGGCCAGAGTCAGCTGGAGTGCAGGAGTGTAGAGCCAGCGGGAATGTGGGGCCAGCAGGAGCATTGGGCCATTCCTGGTTGAGGCCAGTGCAGGCGGGGTGGGGGCTGCTGCAGGTGGGGCTCATGGGGAGTGCTAGGGAGCGGTGCGGGGTGGAGGGAGGATGCAGACTGCATCTGCACTGCCTAGGCAAGCTCTGCTGCATGCATGCCCTGCTCCTCCCTCCCACCACCCACCCCTGGCCTGCTTCCAGGATCTAGCATTCAGGCAGCCTCCGAACATGCACACACCCAACCCACATCTTACCATACCCACACACAGCCCCACACCCTCCCTCTCACCCCACCTCTAGGGTGACCACCTTTTCAAAATGGAAAGCTGGAACACATGCCTGCCTCTCTTCCCTTCCAGCCCTCCTGCCTGCGCTGGCAGCATGACCGGAGCAGGGATGGAAGTGGGCTGCCTGCTGTGGGTTTGGGACTCCCCACCCTGCTGCCTTTCCCTCAGGAGTCCTGCACCAGCCACGCACCCCCTGCCCACCCAGCAGCAACAGGAGGCACAACTCCATGTTGCTGCCATTCCTGCTGCTGCCAGGCAGCCAGGGGGTGCCTCGCTATGGCGGCCTGGCCAGTGCAGGTCTCCCGGGGAGGGCAGCATGGTGGGGGGACCCCTGAGCCCACAGTGGGCAATGTGCACGTACCCCCACCCTATGCACAAATCAGGGGGGGCATATGCCTTGCCATGCTCCTCTCTTTGAGTGCATGCAGCAGTGGGGAGCTGCCCTCTCCCCCGCCCCTCCCAGAAAAGCCACCCATGGCTCCATGCTGCTCCCTGTCCCAGCCCCGAGCTTCATGCACCACTGTAGCTGGGCAGCACCCTGAGCCCCTGCTCCACTCTCTCCCTCACCATGGGGGCCTTAGTTTGCTCCCCTTGCCTTCTCTATGCCCCCATAAACTTACCTGCAGGGAGCTGCTGCCCACACTGTCTGGATGTATTTCTGACTGTGCGCATGGTTGCAGGTATGCACGTGCACGTGGCACCCCCTACGTCCCACTCCCAGGAGCCCCAAGCTTGCAAGGGGAAACCCACTGCTTCCCAAATCTGGATTCCTGCAGGATACTATGTATTTGGCAAGTGAATGCTGTCCTGGTATCATGTAGCCTGAGACTGGGATCTGATGTTTTCATTCTGGGACTCTCCCACCCAATTAGGGAGGAGTGGTCACCCCCCACAAGCACACACCCCATCCTCCCTCTCCTCCCCCAACTGCACATTCCCCAACATATACCTCTCTACCCCTCCACACACAATATACAAGAGTAAGGCTTTATTTTGAGTGATTATATAGTGTTGGGTGGGTGGGCCGCCTTATGTCATGGACCATGTGACAGGGTGGGACTTCCAGATCTAAGATAGTAACCCTCCTCTCCCGAAAAGAGTACTTAAGGGGCAAGGGGAAGGATTGCAACTGGGAAAGGTTAGGGTTTAGGGGCAGGGCTTCCAGTCCCAAGATAGTGACCAGTGGGCAGGGCTTAGCAGTTTGACCAGGGGTGTACCCTTGTGGTCCTCAGCAGCTCACCAAAATGCATTGAGCATCCCATGAGCCAAAATAATTGCCTACCCTTGGTCTAAATGTTACAGAGAAGATCAGAAGGATGGTATGGGATGTCTATTCTTTATCTGCTGGTAGGGGTAGATAATTTATAAATGCTAACTTAGCCTAAATCAAAGAAATTAGGCTGAATCCAGATTGTGCCAGATATAGGATATTAGCATCAATCAGATGAACCCTTAGTACTACTTGGACTTGGGCTTCTCTGTGAACTTGTTCTGGGGTGGGAGGCTAGCTTATTAGAACTAGTGGGAATTTTTACATGTGCTTCTGGCATGGTGCCGGGCACTTTTAATTAGCAAATTGTGCTAACTAAGAGTGCCTGGTGCTGCATCGGCAGCAGGTGTATCAGTGGCCCAGTGCATGTCAGGGCTGAGAAAATGGTGGCAGTGCGCTTTGAACTAAAGCACATAAAGCACCACCGCCATTTTCTTAGTGGTGGTGCGCGCTGTGCCACTGATGCACGTGACGCACGAGGTTGCCAGCACGTGTCAATTTACGTGCTTGAGCAAGCTCAATTAATCGAGTCTGCTCCAATGCGCTGGATTTCCAGCATATCAGAGCAGACTCCCTGCAAGTATGTAAGAGCCAAGTGTTTCCAGGCTGGATTTTTTTGATGTCAGCTGGGCTACTGAATGTTTGAAAGAGGATGGGAAGAATCCTCCTCTCAACAAGGTGACAGCTTGTTGCGGGAAGAGCAGCACTAGTTGCTGCTGCTGCTTTCACAAGCCACGAAGGACAAGAGGGAGGTTACGAAGGGATCACTGTTGGATATTTTCATGTGCTTACAAGCAGTGGGTGAGAAGAGGGCAGTAGCAGAGCTGAATTATTCCAAGTGATTTTATCTCACCGAGAGGCTATTCCTTGAAAGAGTCTCAGCTCATTATGACTGTGAGCAGTGTATTGTCCTGACGAAGGTTTTTTGCACTGCTGTACGCTGACAGCCTCCAAATGCAAGGCCCTGATGCATCCATCGTGTCTTATTTACTCCAGTCTTTCATCTCCCGCTTGCCTGTCTTTATTTACTATTCCAGTTTATCACAGCTGCTTCTGTAACACCTCCTATTGTTGTAATCGCTTTACACTTTGAGATGCGTTTTTAATTATAAGATTGAATGACACAGGTCATAAAAAGATAATATACTTGAAGGCATTTGTGATATGTGATGTATAGTATGCTTTAAAATTCCTTTCTTTTAATCCAGAGCAGTTCTTTCTGAAAGCATGTATTAAATGGCATTTAACTTGGGGACAAAAAACCAGGCAGTACTATTAATGTTTAGCATAAATACTCTGAGTAAAACTTTAAAGGCTGTTTTTCAGTTTGTAAACAGAAGGGGAAGTGATCGCTGTACTGTTAAATATCATAGTCTGTAGCGTGTTTTGAGTATAGTTTTTCAGAGAAGTTAAAGGGTGATAATAAAAAAACCCATCTAGTTCATTTCTTTTACTGCAGGATTGTTTCCTGTAGTACATTGAAGATGATTTTAAATTGTATTTGTTCTAGTTTTAAAGGTCCCTACTAGTTAGGGTTCATCTCTTCTCTTAAGAGACACTTTGGCTCAGTTTCATTAATTTTTTTCTTATTCCCCATTTAGTGCAGTTATTCTTTCTTATACCCCTTGCATCACATGAAGTCTTCAGGTTAGCGGAGGTGTTATATACGTGTGTGTTTTGCTTAGTTTCACAATGGCTGTTCTTCTACCTTCATTTTGGTAATTTTATCATAAACATTGTTTTTCCAGGTTTTCCTTAGGGGATGCTCGCAGGCCACTTCATGAAACAGCAGTGTTAGTGGAAGACATTGTCCACACTCAGCTGATTAATTTGGTAAGAATATTTTTAGCCTTTTGATTAAAACCATGTCCTCAGTTGGACAAACCAGTCTTTGATGTAAAGAGTTTAGATAATGCTTTAGCTCTGTCATACTCTATGTTGCACATGGTACAGTGACTGCAGAGCGTGTGAATAGTTCTCTGCCCATGACAGTCTGGAGAAATCGCTATAACATCCAGATATGCAGATCTCTGCTCTGCTTCTCGTTCTACACTATTATATAACCATATATCACTGTAGCCCTAGGCCCACTTAGTTTCAGCTGCCTGCATCTTGCACCTTTTTTTGGAGGGAAAAAAAAAAGGTGAAGGATGGCCATTTTCAAAATCATATTTCTTAAAAAGCAAAAATAATTGATGACGTATAAGTCTTTGTGAAGTTTTAAAATGTTTTATGAAAATATATCCAAATATTTTTTAGTTCTAGAAAACTAAATGAAAAAGATGCGTAATTTTAATATTTTTTAAAAACCTATCAGAAATATTACTACAAAGTTGTGAAAAACCAAAATGGAACTGTTTTAAAACTTATTATGAATTACAACTGGGAATTTTTGTTGTTTTTTTTTAAACATTTTGCCCATCTCTCCTGAGGACCATCTGTTGTGAAAGTAGTCACAGACCAGATATTCTGTTGTGGTGCTCATTGGTAACGAAAAGACACCAAGCCATGCCAATAATACTTTTAACATGTTTCTTAATTTAACACGTGTAGATGTTTTGTAAAAATTAATTATTTTATGCATCTCCTTGGATTGTGGAAGTATAAGAGAACAGTTTTTATTGGTATGAGCACTGAGGTGAGTTTATGGACCTCATTGTAAATAAATAATTTGTGCTTTTATACTTCTTTTAAGATACAGTAGCTGTAATATTGTAGTAACAGAGAATTGATCTGGACCGCGCTATAAAGGTGAAGCTAAAGTTCCAGTTCAGTCTTATACCTATTGAGAAAATACAGTTGTCCTCTAGACATAACTGCATTTATATATTTATAAAGACTACTTTTTTTTTTTTTTTTACAATGACTTTAAGCATAAAAAAATATGACCATTGCTTTATTTATCCTGCAGTGTTAGTAGCAGGAGGATTATTTATTTTCGTGCTCCATTGATGCTTAGCTGAACTTTATGGTAAAATTTGCATTTGACACAGATTTAACCTGTGGCCTTGTGGTCTTTTTGTTTATATATATAAATAAATAATGAATACCTTAAGCTGGATACTTAGTCAATGGCCATGACCTCTAGGTTAACCCTAAATGGTTTGTAGGAGCATGTATGATTTCCTGCCAGGAGGAAGAATGGGAATAGACCAGCAGATAAACTGCTTTTCTAACCTCTCACCTTTTAGCCCAAGACAGCACTTTATTTCAGAGGAAGTGAAAGTATCTTTAATGGCTTATTGTTTCAACCTTTGACACCTACAGGACGGAACTCTTCAATCATGAACTTTTTGCATGTCAGGTTTCTGATAGGACACAGGATTTTTCACTTTTTTTTATCTTAGGATGTTTCAAATTCTTCCTGAGCTGGCATCAAATATTTATTTGGTTTCTGTCATCTTAAGTGCTTATGTCCATGTGTCATATTAGGCAGCAAACTTATTGCATATTAATGCTGGTACATGTGAGTTTAGTGCATAGCGCTCATGCTTTACGTGCAACATAAACCTTGTTATCTCTTTTCCTTTTTCCACAATCCACATTTGTGATATCTGTGATGTGTATATGATGCAAAGTCACCATGTTGTTATCCATCTTTCATAATGGATGTTTCTAGGAAGAGATCATAATTCTTTATGAAATCCAGATTTGAGCTTCTGAATTCCGGAGTAAGAAGCCAGCTTGATTATCTTTGATTGCCTGACTTTTGATATCTTTGAAGTTTATAGTTCTGACTTCCTATTTTCAAAGTTTATCTGAACTTTATTAAAGCGGGGGCTAGTTTAGACAAATTTACGTGGTTACTACTTCAAACCGTTACACACTTCATGAAGTCTAGCTGCTGTGGGAGGTGACAGCACTAAGAAGTCACATTTCTGGAAAGCTTTTAAATTAATTCTTCATGGTTGCTACCACAATCTGGTTCTGGTGATCTAAATGAAGGCCACAGTTTTAATTCAAGTAGGTGCAGTGTCAGAGTGGACACTTCCACTAGCTCACTCTAACAGTCCATATACACTGTCACTTCATTAATGTCACAGATTTTGCCAACTTCATTTTTAAAAAAATGACTTTTAGACATGTTAATTTTAAATGCATTCTTGGCTTTTTGCTAAACCAAAACCATTAAATAAGTATAGGATGAAAGTAGATATACAAAACTTTGCGTAGGCATATTCTCTGTGTACCAACAGAAATAAAGCTGAAGTACATTTTACGGCTTAAAATGATATTTTCTTCTCAAAGAGCACAATAACAAGGTTTTTAGTCCTAAGCCAAGTTCACTGGGAGCCTGTAATACATTTCTGGGGGAAGTACCTTCTTGATTAACAATGTCTGTATAACTCTGTAAGTAACTAAATCATTCTGAGATTTTATGTCTTTGTACTGTTGCAGTCGCTAGAAGCTACAGTCACACCTCCATTGTGCTGGGTGGTGTGCACACATTTAACAGAAATCTTTATTCCAGAGAATTTTAAGATCTTAATAAGAGGAGATTGTTTAAATTCCACCTCTGTTTGAGTGACCACATATTTTCAGTGGTACCTTGCTGTACAAAGTGTTTTTAAGATTTTAACAAGCAACAGTAGATTTGTTTAATTAATGTACAAAACTCCATGCAAACAGCAACAAATGAAATCTCACAAAACTGCTGTGTTGTTAAGTGTTGTTATTTCTGCTTGCTACATGGGGAACTTGAACTTGGGAGGCTTTAATCTTCCCAAAGCCATGGAAAGTGTTTCCTTAAGAGACGGGAGCAAAACTTGAGGCTCCCTGACCCACACTTTGACACTACAAATGCTCTATCACATATTCTTTGTCTGTAGGTGTCATTAGCTTTTCCTTATTGTGGTGCTGGATACAGTCTCTGTTAAAGAATATGTAAAAAGGTTTTATTGTATTATATTAAAAAAAACTGTATTAGTGTACGTATGCGTATCCTCCGTAATATGAGCCATATCTGAAGTGGTGCAGGTCCCACTACCTTAGCCATCCTAGGCTGATGGGCGAGGATTGGCAGACCCTTGATTTTTTTTTTTTTTAGTTTTTTAAAATGCCTTGTTTCTCTGTGGCGTTAAGCTGTCTATACGTCAAACTGTGGTGGTATTGTAGATTGTATGTCTTCACATTACTCCATGTGGTTGAGCCTCTGAAGCCAGGTAAAATAATTTGCAATATCACATCATTATATATTTGCCTCAATGCTGTTGCACAACTGATATTTTTAACAGAAACAGTAAGGTGGACTGTGTATTTGTGATTTGTGGATGTAACAGAAGCTGGTTGGGCAGTTGTAATGAGATAGCTAGTTACTGATCAGAGTTATGTTTGTAGGATTGAGGAAGTCAAATCTTCAGCCCTTCAAATGGAAAGTTCCCTTGTTCAGAAGAGTGAAGGAAAGTGTGATGAATTTTAAAGCAACAAAGCTGAATAATCCCTTAGGGTCCACTAACAAACATTGTGCCATGGGTCCCTTCTGCGTGCAGAGTTGCCCAGCTCGTTCCTGTCCAGCTGCCAGAACTTTCAGGTTTCCCTGTTTGAGTGTAATATTTGAATTTAATAAATCCAGTACGTCCCAAAAGAGGTACAGTACCATTTGTACTTCACTGGAATGAAGAGCAATGCATGTGAAGAAGGCATGAAATGCTGGGTGAAATTCATATTAAAATCTAGACGCAGTACAATGCACAAGCAATAAGAAGAGAAAAACTGAAAGTGTCATGCCACTGAATATTGTACACCATCACATGTAGCAAAAATACATCATCTTTTTTGATTAATTTATTAATGCCCATGCAAAACACAGCCTCTCTTTATGCTTAGAGGTTAAATTTTTGCCACCAGTGGAGCCCAGGTAGCTTTTCCATTGAGTTATAAAGGTAGGATTTGGCCCTCAGCTTTATTTTTATTTATACTAACTTTCATAAATTAACAGGAATTTTGTAATCTTTAGTAAATGGTTTTGTGGATTGTTATTTGAATAAAGACATGGTCTGGGAGGCAGACATCCTAGCTGACATCCTTTCACTCTGTGGATTTGGTCATCATTTATTCTTAATTCTTATTAGTTTAGTATAATCTTAATTTGGTCCTAACTATTTACTTCTTTAAAACCTTAGATAAAAACTTGTCTCTCTTTTTTTTCCCCAACCCTCTTCTTTTTTTTGGACCATGTACTTAGGAAGTTTAGGAGTCTAAGTTTGTTGGGGAAAGAGGGCAGGTTTGGATCAAGACACAGTGTGCCGCCCCCCACTCTTCCTCCATCCACCCCTTCCTTGCCAGAGAGGCAGGTAAGCCAGTGTGATGTGTGCACTACACAAGGGTTTAATCGACTCTAAATTGAAGCAGTGTTTTTTTTAAAACCCACCACTTCAATTTAGGGCCCTTGTTTCATCTACACATGCCCTTAGGTGTCCATGTGCATCATGCAGGAGGGACCAGAACATTTTTTAGTAGTAAAATCACTTGGACTTGCACACGTACCCCTTTGTCCTCCTGCTTGAGGGCATACAAGGAGGGATAGCCATGTTGTCTCCTCAGGCCCTTCCCCCTGCCGGATGGAACCTGGTAAGTGTCCAACCTACTCATCCATAGCTTTCTGCAAACTTTTTAAATTCTGCTGAACTTTTCTGATTGCTTTATTGTTTAATCACTGCGGTAAAGGTAACCTATATGGACTGAGCATCAAAGACCAGATCCTTGGTGTAGGGTTCTAGAGCTGATACCTGCAGACTTCATGCCCATTACAGGCAGTCCTGAACTGGACTTTTCTTTTAAAAGAAGGGCACAGAACATCTCTTGATCTTCATTTTCGTCTGGGATTTCTGTCC